CTCTGGCTATGGCTTTTGGGGTCAGCAGCTCCCAAAATGAAGGGGAGGCTCTGTTATAGAAGCAGATATACAACCTGATGGACTTCTTGATTTACACTTGTATGACAGGAGGAGAAAGCGGGTCTCAATCTCCAGAGCGCTCTGTAAGCATTAACTGGTTAATGGAGGGGAATCCCAGAGGAACAGGCTCTTAGCAGGGATTGCTGACAGATCCAGTCATTAGCTGCTGTTCTTGTGTTTTTACAAAAGGTGATTTCATTGAGAACAGGCCTGTCACATCCCACTTGGCATGAGCATCTCCCTCCATCTAATGTCTCCTCTTGTGGTTGATGAAGGCTTTTGTTTTCTGTGATCCAAGAAGCTGTAGAAAAACGTCACTTGGAATTTTTCTTAGACTTTCATGCAAAAATTACCCTGAAATAAGAGAGACCCATAAAAAATTGGTGATGAGGGCTGGAGGGGCAGGATGGGCCTACAAACAGCAGAAGAGTGGAACATGTAATTTCTTGAACCGACTTGGTTACATTAACTAGCTGTGATAGTTCTGCAACTCGTTTTGGGGCTTAGGAGGGTTTTAATGAATCATCTCACCAAATTTTTCCTTTTTCTTTTGAAAAAAACAGAACAGAACAAATATGACTTATGAGAAAATGTCCAGAGCCCTACGCCACTACTACAAACTAAATATTATCCGGAAGGAGCCAGGACAAAGGCTTTTGTTCAGGTAATTCCTTCTATTTTTTGCCATACCTTTCTACAGACAATTAGTTTTTGAAGATGGAGGATGGAATTGTGTGTGGGATACTTCATTGCCACGGCTATAACACAGGTCACAGTGGGTATGTATTTGTAAAAGCTGTCTAGACCAGTGCTTCCCAGCTTTCAAGGCAGCTGTACCAATGTACAGAAATATGGGCCTGTTTCAGTGATCAGTGGAGTCAATAGAAGTCTTTTCACTCACTTCAAGCAGGCTGCACCACTGTTTCAGACCTTAGCTAAATGATTCATACTCTCAGCCAAACTGCTAGAAAACCCACTCCAAATTCACTCTTCGAACACAGCTGCCAGTGAATGCTGAGCAGGGATCAGGCATTTCCTCAAGTGCACCAGCATCACAGAAGAGAAATGCTGATGACCACATCTTCAGTGGTGCTGCCTTTAGGGAACAGAAGGACCTGCAAGAGCTGTTCAGAAAACCTAGCGCATCGGATGGATACAACCTAGAATTTAGGAAATAGTGCCCGAAACAGTGTTAAAAGCAGGGAGTACTTGCACAAGCTTGAGTGTGGCTGGCAGAGAGCGAGAGCACTCCAGTTCTCTTCAAACAAGACCAGCAAATCCCGGTGCCTATGTCTGACCCACAGAGCACTGAACTCAGACCAAAAGCTGCTTTGATGTCAGCGGTCTGGATCTAGTAGAGTGCTTGGAAACGGTATCAATAGGAAGGCAGTCTTGGAGTTTGTTTTCCTAAATAGCTAACAGAGCTGCATTAGCACTCTAACTATCTACAGCTGAAGAGGTTTTTGTGGAATATCTTGTTTATGTCAGCTCTTAGAAGAAGGCTTAGATGGGGGAAGGAGAGTAAAGGGAAGGAAGAACCACAGGCAAAACCATCTGCGTGATTTGTATTTTTTTGAGGAAAGTTAAAGCAAGGTTGCTCCACCAGCCTCTGGACCAAGGGAGCCTGCATTGCTACGGCCTTGCGTGGAGACTGCGCTGTCTGGGAGATGATGCTGAATGGTGAACGTGCTTATCTTGGAGCCTCTCTTTCAGGGGCGCACACACAAAACAGGAGTCCATCACTTCTCAACCAGGCTGCCTAATTTCTCAAAACTGTAGAAACTTAATTCTCTTGGAGACCTCAGTTCCTCTGTCAGACTTGTCCAAAATTGACCAACAGTTTCAAAGGTCACCGGAGAGCATAAAACATGAGCGTATAAACCTCATTTCCTTTGGAAACTGGAAAAAAAAACAAAACAACAAAACATTTTTTGCACAATTCCCAATAAAAACTTATTGATGTTATTTTCTTAAACCTACTTATATCTGGAGAGAAAAGGAAGAACAGCTGCAAAAAAATCAAGCCATTAATGTGCCTTTTCATGGCCATTTCTTGCAAGCACAGAAATAATAGGAAACACGGCTTTATAAGTAGGATGCAGGCAGTTGTCATTGCAGATATCTGTAGAGAGCTTTAAGTAAAACGGAATCAGAGAAGGATTTCTAATAGGTTACCTGAGTGTTTTCTGCAACAAAAGAGGTCACAGATACTGCTTCTTTATTAGCTTGTGCTTCTGGGTTGTTTTTTTAAATTTAATCAAATGCTATTATAAATACCCATGCTCTGAGTTCCTTGACATGACTTAAAACACAGACCAGAAAGAATACCCGGAGTACTGCGGTGCAGTTCACATCAGCCCGTTTCCCACGTGGTTTAGGAAGCAGAGCAGACAGACGGTGTGGAGGGCAGTGGGATCACTCTCTTTTGATTTCTTCCTCACGCAAGGTCAACAAGACGAGCACGGGGTTTAAATCAGGGCACAGCCTGGCCCTAGGCTCTGGTGCATTTTCACTGTGTAGCCAGGGACTGATTCACCACTTCTGTATGCTCGTTTTTCACCACCACACCACCATTTCTATCAGCAGTGTTCTTCAGCATACAAATGGGAGTGACACAGCAGTGAGTCACAGCCTTTTTTTTTTCCTAGATGCATATGTGCACATGGTTTCCAAAATTAGAAGGGGTGGCAAAAGGTTAGTTCCAGGCTGTGCTATGCGTTTGCTGAGAGACTCCAGATTTATCAGACAGAAGGCCCTCTGTCTTACAACCCCAGAGGCAGAAGAGGAGGCAAATCTTGCCCATTAGCTTCAGCAGTGGTTTTTCTGGGTCAGTGATAGTAACAAGGCTCCTGTCAGTTGGTTTTGTTTTCACTGGGGCAAGGATACTGAGCATATCATCAACCTGAAATAAAAGCAGCTCCTCTGATTAACATGTTTTGTACTGCTGCTGAATGTTAGCCAGTACATCGTTAATGAAAGACTGTCAAATTTTGTAACACTTCCAGCACAAACATCTTTCATCCTAATTTCTCCAGAAGTACTTATGAGTTAGGAAAGTGATTTGTGTTTAAACTAGGATTTCATCCTTCCTGTGCCACTCGCTCTTCCTACACCATTAAATTCGGAAAGGAAAAGCAGACCTTTTCCTCACTCTCTCTGTGCAGCAGTACACAGAAGCATCCTGGCAAAGATCAAGGCTGCAGACTCGACATGCAGGCTGGTGGATGTCCTTTCCCATTTCCTACTGCTGCCATGTGTCCCCAGAGGCAGTTTCTGTTTCGAGCCCCCTGCAGACTTAACTGCATCAAGACATTAGTGCTGGGAGCCGTGGCATTCATTTACAGAGGATCCTGCTTCGCTACAATTAGGCTTGCTGCAGTCACACAGGAAGAGATGTCTTTGCTAAGTTCCCTAGCCCAAAAGCTGCTTTTTTCAGGGCTTCTTCCATTTCCCTGAACTTGTTCTGACTTGGTCCTTGCCTTTTTGCACCACCGTTCCTTTGGTGTCTCATATTCCTCTTCGCTCACCTACGCACAAGCCTGCAAAAACCAGTAGTCCTCTGCCTCTCCATGCCTTGCAAGTGCTTTTGCTTTGAAATATGCTGGCCACAAAGGTCTTTAGTGCCTCTGACACCGGACACCATAAATGAGTGTAGCTGTGGCATACTGTCATCTTACCTGACAACAGCAAACAATAGGAGGGAGACGAAGTAAATATCAGTCTTTGGAAAAGACTATGGTGTTTGATTTCAGTTTGGAACTTAAAGGAGTGGGGGGTAAATGCCTGTGGCTTTTTTGGTTTCCTTTCCAGGTATGGAGGAGGGAAGACACCGATAGGCTGAGGAGCAGCTGGGAAATGCTAAGTCATTGGGAGGATACAGCAGACACGATTTATGGAGCTGTAGAGCTCAGGGGCCTCAGCATCCTGATGAAGGTAAAAGCTGAGAGCACTGGGAAATCCGCCTGTTTCTCTGTTTTGCAGGTTCATGAAGACCCCAGATGAGATCATGAGTGGCCGAACAGACCGCCTCGAGCACCTTGAATCCCAGGAACTGGATGAACAAATATACCAAGAAGATGAGTGCTGAAGGGAACTGGTGCACCGCCTCTGTGGGCCTGTGGCAGAAACATCTGCCAGGGTGGCTGACGCCATTTGGGAGGGGAAGCAACAACACAGAAGCAGTACTTGGGGTCGCCGCTTAGCTTGAAGACCACGCAGGACCTGAAGCACCTTAACAAGACAAACTAACAGGCAGAAGTGGTGCCGGCAGAAAAGTAAAGGGGAGAAAGCCTGGACTGATGCACTACTTCACTGTTCCTACAAAATCTCCCTTGAGTTCTTTCTTTCTTTTTGGTTCGTTTCAGTTTTGGGGGTTTTTTTGTTGTTTTTTTTCCCTAATAAACATGCAGTTTGACTTTCCTTATCTCACATAGGACAAGACGTCAGATTATGCTTTTTTTTTTTTTTGAAGGCTTTCCTATGGAAATAGAGCGCTCTTATTTTCTGTGCAAGTCTCATGACATAACACTGCATAAAACAATAGCAACACAGGAGGGATTTGCTCAAGGGTTCCAGTTTGCTCGGATCAATTTACATGTGCTGCCACTGGGAGATGTGTTGAAGCTACCAAAAGAATTTAGCACACATACATGTCCAGTGAAGAGGAGTCACCCTTCATGTGTAGGCTGCAGTATCACCCCAGCACAGCTTGGGCTCACGACGAGTCCTGGGAGTGGCTGTTAACGGCTGGAATATGGACCAAAACCAATCACCTAAGTGCTCCGGGGAGGAGAAAAATAAATGTGATAAACCTCTGCGATAGACTGATGTGGACGTTTATCCTCTAGCAAAGGAGTGATAGAATGGAGCGGGGGAGGAGGGAGGACAGGGACAAATACATATATATGTGTATATATATATAAACGTTTCATATATATATGTATATATGTGTAACTCCCACATGATACCCACAGTGCAGAATTTCAGCTCAAAGCTTTCTATACAAAAGCAAAGGCTGAAGTATCCGTAACTACAAACGGGAGGGGTGTTTCTTATACCTGCTAGCAGTTTTGGGGTCAAAGGTGAAGGACTGTTCCTTCCATCGCAGGGAGAAAGCAAAGGGACCCATCACATGGTTTGCATTACTCAGAAACCTCTCCAGGATCATTCTGTGCCACTGGAGAGGTAGGTGATCACCGCTCTGAAAACTGATGGTGGAGAACTAGAGACCAAATAGCAATACATCTTGTAATTGATTCTCGCTTTGTTTTGGGATTTGGTTTTTTTAATGCCTCCCACTACCTTTCCCCACCCCATAGCTCTGCCATCAAGGGAGTTTGTCTCAGCTTGCCCATTTTTAACATGATTTAAAAGACAAGAGAAACAAAAAAACCTACAGCCGTCTGTCTTTCTTGGTTTTTAGGTTTGTTCTGGTTGCAAGGTGTCCTATTTTTTTACACCCCCAATTTGGTTTGCTGCACTGAGGGTGCTTTCCATGAGGCGAAGAGCTATGCCTAGTGTGGTCGCAGGAAGCTCAGCAGTCCTTCATGCCCAATCCAAGGGAAACTACCGGTCTTTTTCCCTTCACATTGCTTGGGCCACCGTGACAGGAAAGTCTGTGGTGCCCAGCGATCCATCACCAGTGGTCCTTTCAATGGAAGGAAGATCCAGCAGCAGAAACGGGCCTTGCAAGGGGAAAAGATGCAGAGAGAAACCGTGAGGGAATCACGTGCTGTCTGGAAGAAAGCACGTCCACACCAGTTCATTAAAACAAACCCTTTTTTATGGGAACGTGCACACTAGACATGGAAAAAATCAATGGGCTAATCTAATCCATTTCAACCAAAACCCATGGTATATTCCCATGATAGAGCTTTCATAGCTATTAAACCAGCACAGCATTTGAGCTCACCACATGTTTAACAAGAAGGTTAATCTATCCAGGGAAAAAATGGCACTCGGCAATGAATAGTGTCCCGTATGTTTAAATAGAGAGAGTCCCATCTCACAAAAGACTCAATACTGAGTCCCAGGTTGTAGAAGGCACAGCTTTGTTAAGGGTGCAGACAGGCATCGCACAAAGAGGAGAGATTTTTCAGCGCCAGTGTCTGATAAGGAACAACGGGGCGTCCATCTCTCCCTAAGCTTTTCCCAGCCACGGTTTTTTATTAAAACACAGTCAGTACCATGTACTTGACTTTTTCTGCCTCAACAGAAAAGATGTGGGAGTGTGTGTCAGAAAGATGAGCAGACAACCTGTCCCCTGCCTCTGTAGTGACCTGAAGTCCTGGGAGCTCAGGAGATGTGAGGCTGGGAGACACGGAGGGACTTCAGGGGTCACAGATCTGAAACCTGAAGTCCTTTGAAACCAAGGGCCCAAGGAGTTACTCTGCTCTGTCGCCCTGCTCAAGGGCACCCAAGTTGTGGCCATGTCTCAGGAGCTGGGGGGAAAAGCATGTGGTGAAAGAGGTGAATGTGAATGACAGATGAAGTGCGATCAGAAATGCCAGTCTAAAGAAAGGCTCTTCATGGTTTCTTGTGTTTCTTGGGGTGTTCAGTGGTAGGAAGAAACCAAGTTTCTGCCGAGAGTGATTCGTATCCTTTACTGCTCTGGCTGTGACAACTGCGTAACGGCATCATTTTCCTTTGCCTGCTGCAGCTACTGGTACAAAGTGGTGAGGGTGAAGTGCTCTGATGAGCCACGGATTTTTGTCACGGCCAAGGTGCACCCTGCAGAATACAGAGGACAAGAGACAATCCAGTGCCATAAGCCCATGTGCTCACTGTGTACGCTCAAACAAAGCTCATCCTCAGCACTGGGTAAGGCAGGAGAAAGCAAGGAATGCTGAAATCACACATATTGTCCCACAGGGAAATTTTCTAGGGGAAATTTTGTCAAGGAAATGTTCACCTTTACCAAAAATGCAGTCACTTCCACTTGCAGAATCTTACTCAAATGGGAAAAAATATTTGGTGGCTGTCGGAAACTCTTCCAGTTCACACATACAGGGCATCTTAAGACAGCTTCTCCAGCACAACCACAGAGAAGAATTTCTTCCAAGGCTGATGCTATTTGGGATGAAAATAGCCTTTGCACTTGGAGCAGGCTGATCCCAAAGAGGTGCTTCCTGGCTGGTGCTGTCCCCTGCCCCCAGCCAGGTCTGCGTGGTGCAGCAGTGAGTGGCACAGGTGACACTGCAGGGGCTTGGGACCTGTCGTGGGCACTGCAGGATGGGAACTGCTTTTGGTGGTCTTGGAGGAATGATTAAAAACAAACAAAACCCCAGATTAACCCAGGCTAGAGCAGCCGCAGTAGACAGATCCCCATCTACCTCGCATCCACAGGGTAGATACATGGAGTGCAAACACAGCATTAATGTACTGAGCTACAGGAACACTTGGCTGCCCATCTGGACTAGAAAAGGTAACAGTGTCTTTTCACCTGTTGCCCACCTTCCCTCCCCAGTTCCTAATTTCCCAGTGTAGAACTTGCCAGCGGCAAAGCAGACAAACTTTCTACGTTTGCCACCAAAGCAAGTGGGAAAAGGGAGAAAGCGCCTCATCCTTGGAGACATGCAAAAGCCGTCTGGATGCGGTCCTGGGCACCTGGCCCCAGGTGGCCCTGCTTGAGCAGGGAGGTTGGAGCAGATGAGCTCCAGAGGTGCCTTCCAGCGTCAACTCCCAGCAGGGTCTTCACACTGTGCAGTTAAGAGGAGCCTTCATTGCCATCAGCTTGCTACAAGGGCTGAACAAGCCACAGGCCGGTCAGGTAGGACACGCTGCAGCTCCACAGCAGAACATTTCCTTCGTTTAAGTTTGAAGCCTTTTGTCTGCCTCTCCACCCAAAAAACACTACCGGGGCCCTTGCTGTGAACACTAAGTCACTGCCGCTGTTCCCAGATTTCAGACTCCACACATGCATTCTCCAGACCTCTCTGTCAGACTGCAACCGTATGCAAATCCAGAATGCATCAGTTCGAGGTCTTTTTCTAAAATAAAACTCTAGTCTGTTTTTATTGATGATGGCTTTTTGGTTTTTTAAGGTGTGGGGCTAAGGGACTGAATCAAATGAATGTAACAAAACAAAACAAAAAAAAAAAAACAAAAAAGCCTATTCTCAGGGCCAGTGAGTTGCAAATAATTTTTAAAATGCCTGTAATTACATCATCTCAATAAAAAATTTAATATAAAAGTGGGAATGCCAAATTTTATTGGTGCAATCATTACTACAAGGTTTTTTCTTTTTTAAAAACTATGGTGCCCAAGTATCTACTGCACATAGCAGCTCTTTTCAAGCAGGAAAAGAAACCTGCAAGCCTCCCATGCCCAAACAGAGACTCATAGAACTGTTAAGGTTGGAAAACATGTTGATGATCATCAAGTCCAACTGTTAGCCTAAAACTGCCAAGTCCACCACTAAACCATGTCCCTAAGCACCACATCTACCCATCTTTTAAACACCTCCAGGGATGGTGACTCCACCACTTCCCTGAGCAGACCGTTCCAGTGCTTGACAACCCTTCTGGTGAAGAAATTTTTCCTAATGTCCTATCTAAACTTCCCCTGGTGCAACTTGAGGCCATTCACTCTTATCCTGTCACTTGTTACTTGGGAGAAGAGACTGACCCCCACCTCACCACACCCTCCTTTCAGGTAATTGCAGAGAGCGATAAGGTCTCCCTTCAGTCTCCTCCAGACTAAACAACTCCAGTTCCTCCAGCTGCTCCTCATAAGACTTGTGCTCCAGACCCCTCACCAGCTTTCTTGCCCTTCTCTGGACACGCTCCAGTGCCTCAATGTCCTTCTTGTAGTGAGGGGCCCAAAACTGAACAGAAAACATGTATGAGCAGTGTCTGGATCTTCCCTGGGAAGCGTTGCTGTCTCCGCTGTCTGTCGCTCCCTATGCCAGTGCTCGTCTCCTGCAGAATGGGGTTACTGCTGCTTCCAGCAGTGTGAGGCTCCTGGAGGGTTTCTTAATGCGCTGCTATAGACAGGTGCCACCAAACATCATAGCAAACACATCTGGTCAGCAGCACGCAGGCCACATCTAGTGCACTCTGCTGGGAGCAATTAGTGTCAAGTTAAATTGTTCGGATCCCAGCTATGGCTCAAGAAGATCCCATGAGAATCTGGCTGATCTGTGGGTTATCACTCAGCTGCTCCTCACTCAGTATTTGTTCTGGGTTTTCTCACTGTTGTTTTTAAACCACAAGGCAAAGGAGCAAGCACCCCTCTCTGAACCAAGACATCAAGCAAGAAGGAAGCAAAGTGCATTGCTCCATAATTCAGTCCCTTCAGGCCATTTCCCTTCACTTCAGATGAGGAAATAGATGTAACCTACACCCTCTCACAGCCTTCTGCGCAGTCTGAACAATAGCAAACGCTGCAGGTCAAAGGTGTATGGAGGAAGTTCTCGGTGGGCTTGGCATTGCTTT